CTTGAGGACACAGGGAGGGGGAAGGGTAAGCTGGGACGAAGTGAGAAAGTGTCATGGACATATATACACTACCAAATGTAAAATAGATAGCTAGTGGGAAGCAGCCACATAGCACAGAGGGATCAGATTGGTGCTTTGTGACCACCTAGAGGGGTGGAAAAGAGTGGGTGGGAGGGACACACAAAAGAGAGGAGATATGTATATATATATATATATATATATATATGTATAGCTGATTCACTTTGTTATAAAGCAGAAATGAACACACCATTGTAAAGTAAATATACTCCAATAAAGATGTTAAAAAAAAATGTTTACCAGACTCCTGAGTAATGAGGCAAATGCAAATCTGTGTGCAATGAGATGACATTGTACATCAATTCAACTGGAGTATTAGGTAGAATGCGGATCAATAGGATTTCTGAAATATAGCTACTGGGAATGTAAATTAATACAATCACTTTGGAAAAACAATATGGCTTAACTGTGTAAAAGTGTACATTCATGCACCTTGGAACATTTGCACTCCTACGATAGCTCCTATGAGTCACTATGCAAAAATTTACAGGGGACATGTAAAGAGTGTTCCTAACAGCAGTCTTCATAATTGTGAAAAAGGAGAGGATAGACATTGCAGAGAATGGATAAATAAATTGAGCTCTACAGCACTGAAAGGAATGATCCATTTTTATAAATAAATCTTAGTAACACAGTACTGTTTAAAATAAATAGAATTTAGTAGAATTAGTAAGAAAAAATAGGAGGAAAAAAGTAGAATACTCTTTAAAGAAATATTCAAGAAAATACAACAAAATATTGTTTAGGCATGCATATGTAAGTGATAACACAATGAATGAAAGAAAGGAATCATAAATTAATACTTCATGAAGTTGTTACCCAAGGGCTGGTGACAGACCATGGAATAAATAGGAACACATTAGTAGGTATAAGTCATTGAAGATGTTCTATTTCTGGGCATGGTTGTTCACTGTGTAGGTGATCATTATATTATACATATAACTAAAGTGTTTTCTTTTCTTTTTTTTTTAATCTAAGTATTTTCCAAATGTATATATATTCTTTAGTCAGCAGTCAGTCATACATCTCTCCCTCCTGCCTTAGTTTAGGGACATCAGAGAAATATTTGATCTGACGTGTAGAGACAGTATTATGATGGGAGAAAAATTGAGGAATCCTTAAGGGAGGGGGTGGGCACAAGAGAGACTGGCATTCCAGGTAGAAAGAACTGCAGGGCAAAGACACAAGCTCACAAATGAACTTGACAACTAGCTATGGATGCAGATGAACACTTATAGACACTCAATTAAAGGTCTTAGTAGTAAAATAAAAAATACCACTAAATCTAGGAGGCCCTTGCAGTGATGAGGACATTTGTGGTGGGTGACAAAGCTCCACCCATTCCCGGGTTCCCCAGGGTGGGGCTGTTCCCCATGGTGAGGGTCACTCTGAGTCTAGCATCCCATTTGATAGGCTCTGGGCTGGAGTGGCCACAGTGCCCAGTGTGGGCTGAGGCCTGATGCCCTTGAATGCATAACTCACAGTCAGACATTCTGGTCCTAGGTCCCCTGTGATCACGTGAGCCTTTGTCAGGACAGGAGTCTGAGAACAGACCTGGGATGGTCACTACAGGGCCAGTAAAACTGGGTGAAAGTGGTCAAAAGGTACACACTTCCAGTAATAAAATAAATAAACCATGGCTATGTAATGTGCAGCATGGTGACTATAGCGTAGTGACTATAGCATAGTGACTATACTGTATATGTATTGGAAAGCTGCTAAGAGACTAGATCTTAAAAGTTCTCAACAAAGGAAAAAATTGTAACTGTGTGGTGACAATGCAGTGATCATTTTGCAATATACAAAATATCAAATCATTATGTTGCACATCTGAATATTATGTGTCAATTATAATCTCAATAAAATATAAATTATATAAAGTTAAATAAAAGATCCATCTTGTCGGGCTCACAGGAGGAGGAAGTGAGTTCAGAGGGGAAAAATAAATTTTGATATATTTTAGGGAAGTTGGTGATGGGCATGTGATCATGAGGACATATAGCACAGCCTGCAGGACAGTTCGCCTGGGGGCCCCTTGGGTGATACTGAGCCTTTTCAGGGCTTGTTAGAAATGTGCAGCTGACTGAGGCGAGTGGATCTCTGCAGGGGGAAGCAACCTCTGTAGATTGTGGCCATGAAAGGATGACCATGCCAAAGCACAGCCCAGAGGTTTGCCCGGCGGACTCTGAGAAAGGAAATGCCCACTGGCTAGGTCAGAGTTCAGCTGGGTTGTTCTAGACCCAGTTTCCTCGTGGCTGAGGGAGAATGTAAAGCCAGCATTAGGAGCAGTTGGGAAGGAGTGGACAGTTGCCCAAACTTTCACCTAGAAACAATCATGGAGCAGTCCTGTGAAATTAGGGATTTCTCCACATGTCACCTTCTGTCTGCTTGTTGTAAAATTTATTAAAAAAATTTTTTTATTGAAGTATAGTTGATTTACAATGTTGTATTCCTTTCAGGTGTATAGTAAAGTGATTTCGTTATACGTATGTATATGAATATATATTCTTTCTTTACTTTCTCTTCCCTTATAGGTTATTACAAGATATTGACTATAATTCTCTGTGCTATACAGTAGGTCCTTGTTTGTTACCTATTTTGTATATAGTAGTGTGTATATTTTAATCCCAAACTCCTAATTTATCCCTCCCACCCTTTCCCTTCTGGTAACCATAAGTTTATTTTTTATGTCTGTGAGTCTATTTCTGTTTTGTAAATAAGTTCATTGGTACCATTTTTTAGATTCCACTTATAAGTGATATCATATGATGTTTTGTCTTTGTCTGGCTTACTTCACTTAGCGTGATAATTTCTAAGTCCATACATGTTGCTGCAAATGGCATTATTTCATTCTTTTTTATGGCTGAGTAATATTCCATTGTGTATATATACCAGTTCTTTATCCACTCATCTGTTGATGGACATCTAGGTTGCTTCCGTGTCTAGGCTATTGTAAATAGTGCTGTTATGAACACTGGGGTGCATGTATCTTTTCAAATTATGTTTATCTCTGAATATATGCCTAGGAGTGGGATTGCAGGATCATATGGTAGCTCTATTTATAGTTTTTTAAGGAACATCCATACTGTTCTCCACAGTGGCTGAACCAAATTTAAAATTTACTTTAAATTGATGTATCCACATGTTAGTTTATGAACAAACTCTTAGATGGTGACCAATCCTACTATTTCAAGAAAAATTTATTGGAGGCTTAGCGCTCAAGTGGTGTCAAAAATGACACTGGTGCTGTGAATGGCTCTGAGCTTACTGAAAAGTCCTGTATCCATGGCTCACATTGAGACTGACTGCAAACCACAGTTATTAACTTGAGACTCTGTGTGGCCTCCATTTAACTGATTAAACAGAGAATAACTGTGTTTAAGGATATTTGTATCCCATCTCACTCTACGGGCTAAAACCTAGCCTTTCCTCCCCTCTACCGTGAAGGCTCTGTGATTTGTGAAAACATAGTATCAGCAACATTGAGATCATATCTTCAGAAGCTATCACTTGCTTACAAAGGGGGTCTCAGTAAGCTCAAAGCGATCACAGGGGGAATGAAAACAGCATGTGGACTGTCAAATTCGCCCTCCCTTTACTTTATTCTAGAAGCAAATCCTCCCTTTATTCTCTAAGCAAAATCATTCTCTATTCTTTCCTTTATTCTCTAATCAAATTCTTATTGAGTGTCTGCTCTGTGCCAGGCACTGTTCCAGTCCTGGAGCTCCAGGAATAGAAATCCTTGATTTCATAGAGCTTATTTTCCAGGGGAGAGACAGAGGAGTGAGAGAACCAAGTGAAATGTGGGCCAAGCTTGATGTGATCATCAGAGAAGATTAGATTGTTCCCCTAAAGACAAGCACACAGATGGGGACAAGGGCATGGAGATGGTGGATTGTGAAGATGGGCCGGGCCTGAGCACTACCTGACCGAGACGAAACCAGCACCCGGCTGTGAAGTCTGCTCCCCTCTGCACTGCCCTCAGAGGGAGGGTAAGGCTTCCCTGGTTCTCCGTCTCCGTGTTTGAGTCCCTCTTTTACAGCAGCTTTGCCTGTATTCTAGGTAATACCATGTCCTTTTTATAATTAATAAATAGTGGGATATACATTTGACTGACTGCTGTGTCAGAAAAAATAAAATAGACATACGAGCATCCACATAGATGCCCCAAATAATATTGAGTTTAGAAAGTCAGAAACTGATCTTGTTAGGGGTTTTGTTACACAGGCATGGTTGATTAAGCCATTGACCGTTGATGACTGAACTCAATCTCCAGCCCTCCTCCCCTCCCTGGAGGTTGTGGGGAAGGAAAGGAAGGAAGGGGCTGAAAGTTCCAACCCTCTAACCCTGGCTTGGTCTTTCTGGCCCCCAGCCCCCATCCTGATGCTCTGTCGTCTCCCCACCCCAGTCATCTCATTAGCTTAAAAAAGAAATTCCTATCACTCTGGAAATTTCAAGTGTTTTAGGAGCTCCTTCCAGGAATTGCAGACCAAGACCAAATAGGTATTTTTATTATAACACAGACTTTAAGCTCAATACCTTTTGTGGACACCTTAAGGGATCCACATATACCTTTACTATATAGTTCTCATGGATACATGTATACATTAATATACACCAATAAACATACTGAAGATGAATTGTGGAGAACTATGTTAAATTGAAAAGACTGTGGTAGTCTGTGATGGGGAGAGTAATGGGCTTAGGAAAAGGAGAGAGAGATTGTCAAGGTGGGATTGAGTCATGAAAACAAGGTAATTTGAAAACGGGCACTCCCGTCATTTCCCTAGAAGAAACTAGCCAATCCAGGGGCTAAGCACAGCCTTCCCAACAGCCCTTTACAAACAATGTCTCCCCTTGGGAACCCTAAAGAGAGGCGAGATGTGCAGCCTTAAGGAAGCGTACTTGTTCCGTATACCCACCGACAACTTCTAGGTTTGCATACACATCGCACACGTCTCTCATCAACTCCACACTCCAGACTGGTCCCGCAGAATCATATCCCTGCCCCTCCCTTGAATGGAAACCAATTGCTCTTATCTAAGTTTCTGGAGGAAGCTGCAAAGAAAAATGCAAGATCTGGTTAGAACCAACTGGGCCCAAGATGGCAAAAGATTTGACTTCCAGTGGACCTTGAGCCTCATTATATGCTCATTGTAATGCATTAGCATGCTAAATGACACATCCACCAGCAACGGGACAGTTGACTATTGCCATAACAACAACCGGAAAAGCCCATACAAGGACTGAAAAGGAGTGTTGCCTCAGTTTCCCATCCAAACCGCATCCTTGTTCTCTGGTAAGTAATGAATATTCCTCCCTCTCTTTCCAGTTCCCTCCTGTTCACCTCGACCCTCCAAAACATATGGTATCTCCACCCAAATTGGGTTGAGAAGTTGATTTGCAAGCCAAGTTGCTGCTTCTCCCTTCTTTAGCCCTTGAATAAAGCTTGTGCTATTCAAGGGGTCTCACCCAGGCTAGGGTCCAGGCAAGCAATTCAGTAAAAAATTGAACAATGAGAAGCCATTTCATTTCAAATGTGAAAGAAAAATCAGAAGAGTGACCAGTGTAGGGGAGCACATATTGCCACTCCAAAATATTTCTCTGGTGTAAGGATTATTTGGGGTTGGTTATTTCTAAGGAACAGAAGACTCAGAAAGTTGTCCTTTTTATCTCCCCCTTAAATACTTAAAAGCATTTAGATGGCGGGCTTGTTCCGAGAAGGGAGCTGTCACCAGAGGTAACTAAAAAGAATATGAGCTAGGCATGTAGACTGGGAAATTTACCACGGTCTATATGTTCACCTTCCTCTCTGTGTCCCATTGTCTCTACATGGCGGGTCACATACTTGTTTACCAAGCATTTGCTCTTCCCATTACCCTGTGAATTGTCTTCCTCTGCTTTGAAGTCCTAGACCCCGAGCCTCAGCTCTTTAGGTCAGAATGAATACATAAGCCTTGATTACCTGACCCTATGACAGACTCAGTCCCAGCCCTGCTGCACCTTTAAGTTCCTTAACCTGTCCCATGTTGTCCCGCACCACCTATGTGCTGGCAACTCCCAAATTTATATCTCTACCGCAGGCCTCTCCTCTGACCTCAGACCCAAATATCCCATTGTTCATACAACATCTCCCGCTTGTATGTCTAGGGTGACCTTTAGTAACTGAACAAGGCCAAACCTGTCTCAAGCCCCCATCCCTCTCTTCCCTTGTCTTATCCCTTTCAGGTAATATCAATGCCACCCCTCATTTGCACATGGGGCTGTCTGCATAATCTTCTCTCTTACACTTCACATCCCCAGTCCTGCAACCTAATAAATGTATCCAGAATCCAGTCACTTCTCCCATTCTCACCACTATTGCCCTAGCCCTGGGCAGTTCTTAGCCCTCCCTCACTCTCTTAACCACCTGAAAAGGATGACCAGGCCTTCTGCACCAAACCACAGCTCTCCACCAGCCAAGGCTACCTCTCAGGCCTCCAAACACAAAACAAGCATCTCATCACTGCAAGTGCAAAGAGTTTGCTTACTCACCAGTGTCAGAGAGGAAAGACATTTCTGGTGTCAGAGATCAGATTGGAATGTTTCCACTAAAACAGCAGAAAATGTTGAGTCTGGTGAAGTGCTCCCTGCAGCCCCTAGCACAGGACACTCCACAGAACTCTTCTCATCCAGGGAAATGCAGACACAGTAGAGAGCAAGGACTGGCAAACTGTCCTGCCTGGGAAATGAGGCCCAGGGTCCTGCCTGGGAAATGAGGCCCAGGGTGGGAGGCAGCAGGGAGTACAACAGCCTCTGACTTGCACCCCTCTTGCAAGAAGATCTGGTTGAGAGTTCAGAACCCACATTTCCAGGAAATGAGAATGAAACCATAGCAACCATATTTACATTCTTCTCTACAGCACAAGCATTTCCCACAAAAGAAGAATACAAGAGTGTGACTTCCAGAGGCTCAGTGAGTAAGGAGAGGGCAGAGAGGTACTAGGGGTTAGGAAAGGCCGGTCTCCGAGGACCCCTGGGAGGTCACCTAGCCAAGACACCCAGGGGAGCACAGAGGACAGGGAAGGAGGAAGGCTGTGAGCTTTCAAAGCTTCCAGTGAATGAGGGAGAAACATTTCTCTAAATTTTCTTTGTCTTTCTGATCTTTCATTGTTAGGAGACTTATACTTGACTGCCACATTTTCAACCTTGGGCATGGATCACTCTGGTGGGTCACGGGGTCTCATCTGATGAGTGAATCAAACTATCAGAAGGGGCTCTGGGGACACAAGGCAAGACAGCAAGGAGGGGGACACAGAGAGGGAGGAAGGAACCTGGATCCTTAAGTTTATATGGAAGATCAAGGGGAAAAGACCAAAGTTTCTTTAGAAGAAGAAGAAACAGGAGGGTTTCCCATAATGTACATGGCGTATTATCATGTATATTTCATACATTATAAAAATAAACAAAGTATCCTTTAATGCTATAGTTGGGTCCTGGCACAGAGCCCTGTGTTAGACTCTGGCATGAATGAAATTCTGTTGAATGGAAGAAGTACATAGCGTGTTAGTGGGTAGAGAAGGCACTGTCTAGTAAATGGAGCTGGACAAACTAGTTATCCTTATGGAAAAAGGTTATTGATTCCCTACCTATATCACTTTTTTTTTTTTTTTTTTTTTTTTTTTGCGGTACACGGGCCTCTCACTGTTGTGGCCTCTCCCGTTGTGGAGCACAGGCTCTGGACGCGCAGGCCCAGCGGCCATGGCTCACGGGCCTAACCGCTCCGTGGCATGTGGAATCTTCCCGGACCGGGGCATGAACCTGTGTCCCCTGTGTCGGCAGGCGGACCCTCAACCACTGCGCCACCAGGGAAGCCCTAATTCTCTATCTATATCACTTTGACAATCAACTCCAAAAGGAGAGTAAAGACTTAAACTTCAAATGGAATACTCTAGAAGAAAATATAGTGAATCTTAGGGTACAGAAAAATTTCTTATATGAGATATCCAGATGATAACTGTACAAAAAAGACTGACAAAAAGGAGTGCTTCTGACTACATTAAAATGAATAGCTCATGAAAAGAAAAAAAGTTCATGAAAAGAAATGCCTAAGGAAAGTTTAAAAGGTCCACAAATCTGGAGAAGACGTTTGCACAAATGTTGTCAACTAAGGATCTATGGAAAGGAGGTATTTAAAAAATTTTAGAAGTTGCTAAAGAGATGGGAAATAATCCAGGATGGAAGTGGGCAAAAGACATAAAGAGACCTTTCTCAGAAAAAAACAAAAACAAAAACACGTGTGGCCAGTAGGCACACAGAGGTTTAGCAGTCTCCTTATTAATGAGGAAAATGCAAATCTGTGCACAACGCGATGACATTGTACATCAATCCAATCAGAAAAATAAAAGTTGGACAACACTGAGTATTGATGAGAATGTGGATCTATAGTATCTGTGAAATATGGCTGCTGGGAATGTAAATCAATACAATCACTTTGGAAAAGCAATATGGCTTAATTGTATAAAATTGCACATTCATGAACCTTGGAACCCAGCATTTCCACTCCTAAGAGGGTACCTATAAGTCACTATGAAAAATGTACAAGGGACGTGTAAAAAAGTGTTCCTAATAGCAGTCTTCATAATTGTGAGGAAGGAGAAGATAGCCATTGACAGAGAAGAGATAAATAAATTGAGCTCTGCAGCATTGAAAGGAATGAGCCATAGCTATACATAGATAAATAAATATTAATAGCATAATGTGGAGTTTTTAAATTAAGAACCAGTAAAATGACCTTTAAATAAAGCTTCAGGTGAACTCAACAAGATATTGTTTAGGGCTGTATATGTTAGTGATAAGACAACAAATGAAAAAAAAGAAACATAAACACATACTTCATGACATTGTTACCCAAGGGCTGGTGACAGGGCATGTGAGTAAATAGGAGGTATAGTTATTGAAGATGCTCTATTTTGGGGGATGGTTTTTCAGTGTGGAGGTAATCATGATATTAGAGAAGCAAAGATTTTAAGAAGAAAAATATCTCAGTTCTCTCCATATTGATGCTGTGTACATTCTCTTATCTGCAGTCAGTCGTGAATCTTTCCCTTCTTCCATAGTTTGAGGACATGAGAGAAATACTCTGACATATAGAGACAATCAATGCTATGGAGGAAGAAAGACTGAGAAATCATTAAGGGAGGAGGCAGGGACAAGAGAGACTGGCATTCCATGTACAAAGGAATGCAAGACAAAGATGGAAGCTCACCAATGAACTTGACAACCAGCTGTGGATACAGATGGACACACACAGACAGCCACTGAAAACCCTTAGTAGTAAAATAAGAAATAGTAAAATAAGAGAACCAAGTGCACACCTGCTCCTTCTCTGGTCTGAACTGCATGCAGGCTGGGACCTGATGCCCTGAATGCACACCTCACAGTCCATAGTCTGACCTTCTTCTCCTAAGTGCCCTGTGATCACATAAACCTTCTTCAGGATCACAGATGACACAGACCTGTCATGGTGACTACTGGGCACCTACCAAGTGGAATTATTCATTGGATACTAGCACAGCTGCTGCCTCCTAACTGGCCCCATTGGAGGCCTGTGAACCTCTGCAAAGGGGTCTTCTCCCCACACAAGGTAAGAACCCAAAGTAGAATCTGGGCAGAGTCTACAAGAGACATAAAAAAGTTGCTGATTGCACTTTAGGGCCACACTTTGAAAAACTTTTCTAGGTTTGGGTTCTGCTTTCAGGATAATCTGTCTATCAGATGCCTGAAACAGGTTGGAATTGGGTTCAAAGGAATTCACAAGGTCTAGTAAGACAGGGAAATTCAGTATTTTTTGGTTGTACCACCTCCTCTCATGTTCCTCCATCTTCTGGCAGACCCTCAACCTATGTAATGTGTGCATGGTCAGACCTTCACCACCAGACACTGGGTAGGCTAGACTGTTGACCAAGAGGCTGAGTGCTGGGCCTCCATCTGAGACCAGACTAAGTCTGGGGATCCAGGTAAGCAAAACAGGGAACAGGAGAAAAGGGAAGGAAGACAGACATTAAATGCCTTGCCTAAAGCCCTCAGGCTGTTGTGTGGACCAGCAGGGTTCAGGCTGAGTTCCTCCTGAAAACCCCCTGCAATTGGCTTAACTAAAAAAGCAGTTGCTGGAGCTTCCCTGGTGGTGCAGCGGTTGAGAGTCCGCCTGCCGATGCAGGGGACACGGGTTCGTGCCCTGGTCCGGGAAGATCCCACATGCCGCGGAGCGGCTGGACCCGTGAGCCATGGCCGCTGAGCCTGCGCGTCCGGAGCCTGTGCTCCGCAACAGGAGAGGTCACAACAGTGAGAGGCCCGCGTGCCGGAAAAAAAAAAAAAAGCAGTTGTTGAAGTTGAAAATGGGTGTGGTCCTTCTGTTACCCTGCAAATGTTTGCTAAGCTTTTCAGTTGCAGTTGCGCACTGATCTGTGGTGACTAACAAGACTAGGCCTCTCATACCTTGGTCTCCTTAGGGCATCACATGTTCAGGACAAGGCAGGTATTCCTGGACATCAATAAGGTCTCTAAAATGCACAGAGGTAAAGCACACATTTCCTGGTTGGAGGAGGGGAGGAATGTCTCAGGAAATATCCTGTCTCCTGGTCCCACTCAGGTAAGCAAAAGTCCAATTGGTCTCATAAACAATCTCCAGACTCATAGAATTGAAATCTCCCCTCCTCTGGCTCCGTCCCTCCTCCAACTGAGACAGCTGCAGCAGGGACAGGAAAAGAGTTAGCTTCTCCCTCTTTCTTCCTCCCACTGACCCCATTATAAGCTTGGTGCTGGCTGAGGAGAACTATAAAGTGTAGGAAAGACACACTCAGGTGAGACAGTTACAGTCCTGCAGAGGCCCCTGGTGTGGTGAATGTCCCTCACATAGGAGGGACCATGGTAGGGGTTGGAGTGGCTCGCATTGACATCCCCATTGGAATCTCACGGACAGGTACGACCCAGACCCACAGGCCTCCTACTTCCTCTTCAGTGTTTACAAATGGTGAAGAAATCCACGTGTCTTTTTTGGATGAGGTCCTCTTACTCAGGAAGACTAAGTCCAGCTCTCATGGTTGACTTAAAGTGAAAGCACACTGCCTTGCGAAGGGCTCACTAAAAAGTGATCCCTGCCTTCCCTTCTCCTCAGTCTGTCAGCCATTCTTTCCTGACCCAGGGAAGGAATCAAGGGTGGCAAAGCCAGGTTCACAATCTCTTAGCTGCGTAAGATTTTCCTAGCTTGTTATTGACATTGCAATCTCTGCCAACCTTGGAAAACAGACCCACTCTATCACCCTGTTACAGTAAAAGCTCTCAGAACATGTCCAGCAGCTGCCTGGGCACCTTTGGCTCAGGGACAGCCCCAAGCACTGCCACTGACCAGGCATCACTGGCCCACAGTGCTTTCATTTCCAGGGTGAAAGAAACAAGGCTCTGGTCCTGGTCTGGTCTGTGATACATCTCTGGTAACTGGTAGAACCTCACATGTGATGACACCAGGGTATTCTGACTTACTGGTTGCCTTGATTGGAGGTTTCCTTTTAAGGGAAAAAGGCATAAGATTTGGTCATCTGGTGTTGAGCCTACTGCCACTTTAATTGGACTTTTCCTTCTGGGTCAAGGAGTCCCTCACCATCTGACGCTGCCCGATTGGTAACTGGGAAACTCCCTGTTGGACCAAGTCTTGTTGGTACCCCCATCTGCAGTGGTAGGTAGACAAGCCTCCATTCTCTCCCTAGGGAACTGTGACCCTGAGAGAGTGCTGAGTATTGGTTCATCTGGTCCTGGT